ATCTCTGTATCTCATCCCTACATTTTGCAATATTTTTCTATCGCTTTCCGTCTTATTAAGTAGGGACATCACTGGTTCTAAACTCAAATTGGTCTTCTAATAATTCTTTCGCCTTTTTATTCTATCTTTCTCGTATGTGCGCCTTCAATTTTTGGCATGGCTACTACCATGTTCTGTTTGTACAACTCTGGGATTCAGATATGTTGCTAAATAACTTAAACATACGGTCCTTGACTTTTGGCCTACATATTTTAAGATTCCTGTCAGTAACCTTTTCTATAGCTAGTGCCTTTTTATTCTTTTATGTTTTTGAATGCTATCTATAAGTAAAACTCATCCGTCATTACAGTATATCCTAATTCATCTCTATATCTACACTGTCTTTGTTCTATAATACATCTCCTAATCTGCGTATAGATTCTCTAAATGTATATCCTAATTCATCTCTATATCTACACTGTCTTTGTTCTATAATACATCTCCTAATCTGCGTATAGATTCTCTAAATATTCTTTCCACTTATCCGCCTTTTTCTTCATTTTCTATCAAAATGTGGATGTGTATATATAGAATTTATGTGTAACTGGATTCAACTTCTGTACTTCAGAGAGTCTCCTTGGATCGTCTGTTATTTCTTGTTTGTGGTAAAACGGGAAAGCGCGTTATAAATTATGTTCAAAAACAATCAATAATTTCATGAATGTTTAGTTTCAGACACAGTGTACAATAAAATTGATTTCATTGTCACTTAAAGTCATTTTACGGTATCCCACGCGTTGACATAAAAGTATAAAAACCACTATCGATGTCCATATGTAATATTTGAGTTAAAAGCTGGTCGCTTCGTATTGTATTATAAATTGTTATTTACAATACAAATATTTAACTTCTTCCATACATATTCTTCTATTTTCATCATCATTACATCATACCAAATCACCTTGTACGCCACCACGTTTATTTATAGTTCATATTTTGTATATAAACAGANGAACACAACGACGAGAGGCATTTTGTTAAGAAATAAACAAGAAAATTTACAACTAAAACACACAATCTGACCTAAAACATTTTCACTTCTTTCACATAATAGTTCTGCAATTAAAAACTGCATCCAAAGGTATTAATCACTATAACACACTATAATCATCCTTATTGCACATTTACTGCACGATATTTCCGCTAAAATTAAAATATTATAGAACAACAAAAAAACACAACAACTAATGTATTAGTTCTAACTCTCATTAACCGGGAAATCCTGGGACTCCCACAGTGCATGGCTTGTAAGTAGAGACGGCTGTGGTAAAACTCATCCGTCATTACGGTATATCCTAATTCATCTCTATATCTACACTGTCTTTGTTCTATAATACATCTCCTAATCTGCGTATAGATTCTCTAAATATTCTTTCCACTTATCCGCCTTTTTCTTCATTTTCTATCAAAATGTGGATGTGTATATATAGAATTTATGTGTAACTGGATTCAACTTCTGTACTTCAGAGAGTCTCCTTGGATCGTCTGTTATTTCTTGTTTGTGGTAAAACGGGAAAGCGCGTTATAAATTATGTTCAAAAACAATCAATAATTTCATGAATGTTTAGTTTCAGACACAGTGTACAATAAAATTGATTTCATTGTCACTTAAAGTCATTTTACGGTATCCCACGCGTTGACATAAAAGTATAAAAACCACTATCGATGTCCATATGTAATATTTGAGTTAAAAGCTGGTCGCTTCGTATTGTATTATAAATTGTTATTTACAATACAAATATTTAACTTCTTCCATACATATTCTTCTATTTTCATCATCATTACATCATACCAAATCACCTTGTACGCCACCACGTTTATTTATAGTTCATATTTTGTATATAAACAGAACAGAAGTGTCCACGTTATCCAGAATATACTTCGTATTTAACAGAAAAGTTACACGCAGTACAAAATGAAATTTTTAGTGTTATCCTTACTATTGTTGTACACCACGTTTTACACTGAAGCAGCTCTTGCAAGAGGAAGATCTGGTGCAGGTAAGATCAATTTATGTACATATAACCCAAATAATGTAAGTCATAGTTCATTTAATAAATAAATAGATAGAATCATTGACAATAGAGATAGCTTGGTCACTCCAGTAAAAAATACAAACTAACCGGTAAAAATTGGTAGTCCTTTGCTATAGTGACAAAAATTTCTAAATTCTTGGAATTTTTGCCGTTAAGAAGCAAATCAGTTAAAAAAATATTGTTTTATTTAACTTAAAGAACCTATTTCTCTCATTATTTTCTAAAAATTTTATCTGCTGCATGAGTCGTCATTATCAGGTGCGTACTTAGGGCGGTAAGCTACTATTTCCAGAAACAGAAATGAAGTCACATACGAGAGTGATCCGATAAGTACTTAGCCTCGCCGCCTGATTGCGCCAGTATCCTAAGAGCAATTTATTATCGTGTAGTACATTCTCCTAGGCGGCTACTGTCAAAATTTCAGCCGGATCGGACTCGTAGTTTTGTTTTGACCGCGTGTGGAAGCGAGAGTGTCCGCCAATTTTAGAAAAGGAAAATCGCCCAGCGAAATGAAAGAGCGTTTGGATGTTGTGTACGGTGACTCTTCTCCTTCGACAGCAACTCCTAACCCTCCTTAACCCTCCTTTTTTATTGTACCGTGGTCGGATGTAAACAATGACTACCATTTTAAGATGTGATGATGTTCTGATTAAAGGATCAGGTGGAGGACCATGCAAAACACGAGTGGACATGTCATAACCATATCCAAACTAGTGCGTAAGCATGAAGTGTTTATAAGCTGAGAACGTGATATAATAAATTTGTATTGTAATATACTTTAGGCTTGATGGTGATTCAATTCACTTTGCAAAAATAAATGAAACGAAATGCAAACGTGACAAATTTAATTAACAATAACTGTTGGGGCGCAATTCATGATGCGTCTTTTGAACAACGAAAACATTTGTGTATTTCGCAGTGTTAAGTTTACAAGAACATGTCTGCAACAAAAGAACGTTATCATTATAATATTTAGGTTTTTCCTCTGCTGGTAACGTCCCTTCGCGTTAGTCACAAGATGGGTCGATGGTCTTCCCATCCACAAACAATATTGTGATTTTAGTCACGTAGTCACTAACCATAGCCTAAGATCAAAAACACCCCACTAACGTACCTCCACCCCCTATATTTTCTTGTTATATTTAAGCATCTAATCTCATTAAGTTTTCATGTTTTCAACCATTAAGTTCATCGAATCAGTTCATGAGTAGTTTATTCATTGTAGTTATTTAGTAAGTGGATTTTTTTTCGGTGTTAGTTTAAGTGTATGTTGATTATTAAAAATCTAAAAATCACATAAGTCATTTATTGTTCGTACTATTCCAAGTACAAGACCACAGATAGAAAATATTCGGCCGTTATATCCTAAAAAATAGACTTCGCTAAATTAATTTTTATCGAAGAGGGTTCAATTGTTCCTTAGGAAAAATCTAGGCCAGCAACACAACTGCAACATTCAACAATAACTGAAAAAAGAAGTGGAATAGTTGAACAACAGATTTGAACTTATTTAGTGTGTAATAAAATTTTCTACATTCTGCACTAACTATAGTTTTTATTGTACATTAATTTTAAAGTACAGTACATTAATTTTAACGTATAGCACATTAAATTTAATATATAGAATACAATTGTATTTATTGACAAAATTAAACATTGTACTTAGGTACATTAAAATCCAAACAGCGATACCTCGTTTATATATAAACACGTGCTCAACCTTTTCTATAGCTACATCGTCAGTATTGAACAGAAAAGTTGTACAATGAAAATTTTACTGTTACGCATATTTTTGCTGTACGTGCTGTTTTGCTTAAGCGAAATAGAATCAGTTGATATAATTGGAGGAAAATCCGATGATGGTAAGAATCGATATTTGTACTACCAAAAGTAGGTAAGGAAAAAATTGTATTTCAATAAATTGCCACTTTTGTTATATTCAGTCCCTAAAAGATACGTAGTTTATTATTTATTAATTCAATTATGTTAAGCAGTAATAGTTTTAGAACTATAGTTGCAGATTTAGATAGATGGTAGCTTTAGTAACAAAATTGTTATTCTTATTTATATTAGATGTGTGTCTAAAGTGTCTTGTTAATATTCGCTCACCAGTGATGAAAATAGTCAATAACGACTTCAATCATGCTTTCGTAAAGAAAATCATCAAAAAGTTTGATGCCCTCTATAACAGCTATTAGATTTGATACGTAACTTTGTTTAGCTAAAACTGACCTTGTATTAAAATAAATCTATCCTGAAAGTATAAATAGTTTTACGCACACAGACTATGTTAACATAACTTATTTTCGGTTAGGCCCTCCTGGCGTGTGTTACCTCAAAAAAATAAAGTTAGAGATTCCGGACAAAGGATACGTTTATAAGGGATGCAATTTATATACATGCCAGTATCCAGATTATGTAAAGTATGGGTAAGTACTTACATATATTATTCGTTTGGCCCATGGAACACGGAACAGTAAAGGGACGTAGTAAAAAGTGCGATTATAGACGAGGAGAGTGAAGTCATTCAGGGGAAGGAGAATGGGTGGTGTTCAGACACTTGTGCCTTTGGTTTATTGGCTGCACCCATGCGCCTCTCCGTTGTTTAGTTACGATCAACTAAAATACTCATTAATATATTGAAATCCATTCCAAAAACAACCAAAGAGAACAATTTGTCAGTTCTACTCATAATTTTTCACGAATTTAGGCGAAGAATTCCAGATCTTCTGTATGGTCTCCTCCATTTTGGTTTATACCTTGTGCCTATATTATTCCGTAGCCCATGGATTTCGTTCTTCACTTCCACATTCCACGTAATGAAAACATAAAAAGATTTGACCGTGTCAATACATAGTGACATGTCAGTCTTTTTGTGATACATGAATTAATACAATTATTTTTGCCATTTTCTTTTAATTTAAGATGTCCTTCTATTAAAATCAAAGGACCAAATGGAAAACTGTGTACACCGGCAAAGGACTTGACAAAACCCTATCCAGACTGCTGCAATAGCGGCAAGTGTGCATAATCAAATAAATTTCTTTACCATAAATTTGAAATGTACTGAATATGTCAATGTATTACTAATTCTGTAATATTTATCTTGAATATACCTTTAATTTAAATTCTGTTTCTTAAATTAATAAATAAATGTATATTCGCTAGGTACCTACTTCCATAATTTCCTTCTTTTTTAGATGGATTAGTAGGAAAAAGAAAATACATCAATGGTATTTAAAAAAAGGAAGGAACATAACAGGAAACTACAACCAATTGGAAAGGAAAACTAGAGACAAAAAACCAAAAATTACAAAAACGTTGGTGAAATAAAATAAAATAGATAGATAGACTTGTTAACTATATTTTTGGTGGTAACAAGGGGTAATTCATGTAGATGGGCAAAAGTAATGAGGGTAGTGACGTATTGGGAAGACCTGTGCTTGTGATTCTGAGAATAAATTTCGTTGTGGGTAAATTCCATATCATTCTCCTACTCATTTTAATGTTTTCTCACTCTTAGTCTCTTCTAACCACGAAATCTTCTTCGTTCGCATGTACCACCACATTTCAAACGATTCTAACCTCTTCTTTTCAGTTATACCTACCATCCATATCCATGCTCCAAACATAAGCATACCTTTAACACTATTTTTTTAATTAACTGTTCGCGAGTGAAGTGAAGTGTAGAACTGACTTCTTTTTGCTAATGGCTGTTCGACTTTGCGTTATTCTTTGTTTTATATCATTGTCGCTCCTTCCATGTTGTACTATCTGACTTTCTAGATATCAAAAATCAACGTATGTAAGTTGTATATCACTCTTCTATCTCTGTATCTCATCCCTACATTTTGCAGTATTTTTCTATCGCTTTCCGTCTTATTAAGTAGGGACATCACTGGTTCTAAACTCAAATTGGTCTTCTAATAATTCTTTCGCCTTTGTTATTCTATCTTTCTCGTATGTGCGCCTTCAATTTTTGGCATGGCTACTACTATGTTCTGTTTGTACAACTCTGGGATTCAGATATGTTGCTAAATAACTTAAACATACGGTCCTTAACTTTTGGCCTACATATTTTAAGATTGCTGTCAGTACCCTTTCCTATAGCTGGTGCCTTTTAATTCTTTTAAGTTTTTTAATGCTATCTATAAGTAAAACCACAGCCGTCTCTAATACAAGCCATGCTGAGAAATTTGGCAATAGCGCATTGCTTGGATGCGAGAGTCCTATTCTGCGAGTCTTAGTTGTTATTACTACACGTAGTTACACATGATTTTTAGACACCTATTACGATAAAAATTAATTAAATTATTAAATAACTCACTAAATAACATCACTGATAGTATGTGACATTATTTAAAATACACTTCAACACGTAGGTGTTAAGAATAAAATAGAAAAGACAAAAGATTAGGTGTAAACATTGTTAGGTACCTACATGAATTTCATCTCGATAATTGTAATTTTATTAAAGCAAATTTCCACACCACAATTGAAGTATTGCCAAGGCGCGTTAGCTTTTTTTGGGGTTCACCAATAGCCCTGCCATCCCATTAGAAAAAACTAATTACAATTTCTAATTTACGGATTTTTGCTGTCTTACAGTTAGCTGAATTTGAATTGGAGTGGCGGGACTCTTGCTTTCTATAATTTATAATTTTAACGTAATCATTAAGCAAAACATTAGCAAAAGAAGATAAAATTTGGAAGAATATATCTTTATAGTGTTTTCCAAAACTAAATATTTTTGAAAATAGTTAATTTTCCTAAAATTGATTTTTGGAGTTCAGCCCGTAAATATTGTGTCTGCAGATATTCGTTATTACTTATTTCTTCAAGAATAGCATAAAAGTGAAAAAAAACTATACTAATATTATCAGTAGGAACAGAAAGTCCTCCCCTTTGTAAATAATCAAAATAAATATCTCCAACGCAAGAGCCTTTATTGTTTATTATGAGCGAAACACAATTGTTGCAAGTTATCTTTTTACGAGCAGAATGAACTGCATATCCTGAAATGCAAATTTTTAAGGAGTCATCTAAATCACAATTCATTAAAAAATCGGAATTTAAAATTTCAATAAACTGACTTATGTTTAAGGGAGACTCTTCAACAATTTAAATTCCTGTTTCATTATTCTCTGGTAATTTAGGATATGTTAAAAGCACACTCAAAACATTACCGGCAGTGGATAATTTTTTTTTACTGTTTTTATAATGTCACTTTCGTTAAAGTGATGTATGTAAACTCCAGAATATTTTCATGGAGTCCAATCTTTGCGAGGTATAGTACTTATGCATTTTTTTCGCATTTCATCATTTTTTTGGGAATAAAAATATAGACATACTTGTACTTACATTTTAAAGATGATTTATAATTTGAATTGCAACTGGGAACACAACGACGAGAGGCATTTTGTTAAGAAATAAACAAGAAAATTTACAACTAAAACACACAATCTGACCTAAAACATTTTCACTTCTTTCACATAATAGTTCTGCAATTAAAAACTGCATCCAAAGGTATTAATCACTATAACACACTATAATCATCCTTATTGCACATTTACTGCACGATATTTCCGCTAAAATTAAAATATTATAGAACAACAAAAAAACACAACAACTAATGTATTAGTTCTAACTCTCATTAACCGGGAAATCCTGGGACTCCCACAGTGCATGGCTTGTAAGTAGAGACGGCTGTGGTAAAACTCATCCGTCATTACGGTATATCCTAATTCATCTCTATATCTACACTGTCTTTGTTCTATAATACATCTCCTAATCTGCGTATAGATTCTCTAAATATTCTTTCCACTTATCCGCCTTTTTCTTCATTTTCTATCAAAATGTGGATGTGTATATATAGAATTTATGTGTAACTGGATTCAACTTCTGTACTTCAGAGAGTCTCCTTGGATCGTCTGTTATTTCTTGTTTGTGGTAAAACGGGAAAGCGCGTTATAAATTATGTTCAAAAACAATCAATAATTTCATGAATGTTTAGTTTCAGACACAGTGTACAATAAAATTGATTTCATTGTCACTTAAAGTCATTTTACGGTATCCCACGCGTTGACATAAAAGTATAAAAACCACTATCGATGTCCATATGTAATATTTGAGTTAAAAGCTGGTCGCTTCGTATTGTATTATAAATTGTTATTTACAATACAAATATTTAACTTCTTCCATACATATTCTTCTATTTTCATCATCATTACATCATACCAAATCACCTTGTACGCCACCACGTTTATTTATAGTTCATATTTTGTATATAAACAGAACAGAAGTGTCCACGTTATCCAGAATATACTTCGTATTTAACAGAAAAGTTACACGCAGTACAAAATGAAATTTTTAGTGTTATCCTTACTATTGTTGTACACCACGTTTTACACTGAAGCAGCTCTTGCAAGAGGAAGATCTGGTGCAGGTAAGATCAATTTATGTACATATAACCCAAATAAAGTCATAGTTCATTTAATACATAAATAGATAGAATTATTGACAATAGAGATAGCTGGGTCACTCCAGTAAAAAATACAAACTAACCGGTAAAAATTGGTACTCCTTTGCTATAGTGACAAAAATTTCTAAATTCTTACAATCTTTGACGTTAAGAAGCAAATCAGTTAAAAAAATATTGTTTTATTTAACTTAAAGAACCTATTTCTCTCATTATTTTCTAAAATTTTTATCTGCTGCATGAGTCGTCATAATCAGGTGCGTACTTAGGGCGGTAAGCCAGTCACATATACTACATTGAAGTGAGTCTCTCTAAAATGTTCATAAAATTTTGATGATCGACCTAAGTACGAACATTGCATGTGCCAACAATGTCTGTTCCCTATTTATAATCACAACAGAATGATTATAATGTTTACATTCATTACTAATTGTATACTTAATAATGCAAATATTGTGAAATTTTCAAATTTATTTGTGTTTTAGGTCCTCCTGGGGTATGTTTCATCGAAAGCGAAAATATACTGATTCCAAACAATGGAAGTATTGTCAAAGAATGCATCAAGTATGATTGCAGTTATCCGGACTATATAATTAGCTCGTAAGTAAATATAATTATTATGTATACGAGTTCTTCCCCCCCCCCCCCTATCAGTCACCCTGAGCTCGAAACTGTTAGCACCATTGCTTGGAGTGGTTGAAATTCACTTTTATGAACAATTTGTGTTAAAAATTGTCTGAAAAATTAAATTTAAAGAAATTGTTTGTAAATAGGTAAGCAACACATCATACACTTCAGCATAAGAAATTGCTGATACCAACTACGTAATACTACTTTGCGCTGTATTGACAGCATTTATAATTTCGTTTATATATATTCTATTCTGTTCTCAATTTCTTACCCTTAGTATGGATATGAATAAGCAAAGAGTCTATGCAGTTAAGGGTTGAAGGGCTTAGAAGATGTAGTCACTGTTAAATATTAACAATGTAAACATACAGTTAAAACCCGTTTTTAGATAGAACGCGTCTTCCCTAGTTAGAACTAGTTTTTACTAAATGCCTTTGTAAAACTAGAAATACCGAGTGAAAGCTAGAATTTACCACTGATAAGTCGGAACAGGTTTAACTGACTCGCTTCGGAAAAACGCGTTTTGTCTAGTAACAACTAGTTTTAACTGATATTAAATCAGTTAATTGTAGTTTCTGCAAAAGGTATTTAGTAAAAACTAGCTCTAACTAGGAAAAACGCGTTTTATTTAAAAACTGGTTTCAACTGTAACATATATAAGTGCAACGCTTAGATTCTTGCTTAGCATTCGGGAGGACGCCGCGCCGGTTCGATCCCGGGTCCGTCTGCCTTGGTCCAAGTTTTTCTGTGGTTTCCTTGGATCACTTAGGCAAATGCTGAGGCAGTAATATTCCACAGATAATATTTCATTCTCTTCTGTCTTCATTGCGTCCGTCTCATCTTTTTCACCCGAACCACCACCCACCCATTCCGACGATTCCTGAAAGCAGGCTGAAGAGGGCCTTCCGCCCTACATTCCGGCGTAGTCCGGAGGGACTGCCCGCCCACCAGCATTACTGGCTGGTGGGAATGAAACACTCAAAAAAGTTTAAAAGTTTAACAAGACTCTTTGCGTTCTGTTAATGATAGAAATGATGAGGATACCGTGGAGGGACAAGTTAAAAGTGAGGCGATATTAGAAATAATAAAAAAAGAGAATTCACTACGGAAGTCAATACGAAAGGCGAGATAGTTGGACACCATCTCAGTCATGAAGGGCTAATTAGGATCATATTAGAACAAGAAACTGGAATTAGACGAGTAGAGATAAATCTAGATTACAGTAATTGTTCCTTATTCACGGTTTCCTTATTCACGTTTTCATTATTCGCGGGTGAAAAAAATGCAACCCAGTTCCTGTATTCGCAGCTAAAAATTTCATTATTCGCGAATGCAATCGGTAAACAGAAAAGGATTCGGTGTCATTTATTAAGGGGATTGACCGCAATAGACCGCTCGTGCCCAGTGTAAATTTTTGCAGAAACATGGGTTTCTATTCTAAACATTGTGATTTAAAGCTGCGAGATAAATATCTGATTTTTTGTATGGTAACAGACAAAGGTTCACACTAACTCGGTACGTATTTCGTTTTCAATAATATGATCATAAGAAGCTTTTACAAGTGCTTAAAGTTGGTGCTTCTTGTAGGACACGTATTTTCAATAGAAATTAGAGAGTTAAAAAACGACCTTCGACAGGTTTTAGAAAAAAGTTTTATCTATCTTACTACAAAATTTCAAACCTCTGTTCCAAACATTAAACTCATGATATCTAGAACCGATAAGCATGTTTTTACTTTACGGCGCGTGTAGTATCTACTGTTGGTACGTGCCGAGATAGCTTTTATAAAAGATGTAACCGAGTGGACTAATTCAAAATTCAAAACAAGAAAAAATCACTAAATTTTTTAAACCCTTATCTAAAGGTGATTATAACGATTAATTTTAATTGCGAGTTTCTCAATAAATTGATTTTATGCTGATACATATTGGTTTTATTTTGGAACCTTAGAACGTATCCCCTATGATTCCATACCGATATGGAATGTTTTAGTTTTAGGGAAATGCAGAGATTAACTCAGGATATGAAAAAATAGAGGTGCGTGTCCAACCAATCTTAGGACTGACGACCTTATGATGATGACAAAATCAAAATTAAAGACGTTACACGTAAATTCATGAGTTCACTAAGTATAGATAACGCTACAGTAAACGATATGACGTCGTCATTGTATGTACATTAGAGATAATGTCATAAGCTTGATATATCGGCACAGAAGACAGGTTACATTTCAATTCGTTATTCTCTTTGGTAACGTCTAAGCATTTCCAGCATTTTGCTCTACAAATAACACATAGTGGCAGCTCAGGCGCAACATAAGAAGTTTTGCTTCCACTCCCGTTAATCAGAATTTAAAAAGATCTGATCATGTGAAAACAAAAAAGTATTAACAATTGAAACTATTTGTGACACGGAAATTTAGACCAAATAATAAATTTTACCATTTTCTTTTAATTTAAGATGTGGTGTTGCCTTAATTGAAGGGCCCGATGGAAAACCTTGCAGAGCAGCAGTGGACTTGTCAAAACCATATCCAGATTGTTGCGTAAGCAACAACTGCGCCTAAATCACAACAGATATAAGCTTCTTTTTCATAAATTTGTACTTTACAGAATACACTAAGGTATTATTAATTTCTTTGTTTTATTAAGTCTGATTTCTTGTCTCCACATCAATTCCTATTCTCAAGTCTACAAAAAATAAACATATCCTCAACTGAAACATTTTGAATTTTTGTGCGGGTTCGACTCCCGACGAGGGAGTGGCAGCGGCAATAATTTTTTCGAGTGGCCTTCAATAAAAAGAAGTCATTTCTACGCTCGCGAACGTTTAATTGAGAAATTCGAAAAAGGTTGTTGCAGGTGTGTTTGGAGCACGGCGCTGTACGGGTGCCAAACATGGACAGTGGGCTAGAAGGTTAGAAGTATTCGAAATGTAGTATTACAGGCGAATGATGATAATATCGTTGATAGAGAAAGTTAGAAATGAAGCGGTATTAGAAAGAGTAAGAGAAGAGAGGACTCTATGGAACTCAATAAGAAATAGGCGACACAGGTTAGTAGGACACCTTCTCAGACAAAGGTCTAGTCAGAGACATATTAGAGGCAGAAACGGAAGTTAGGAGGGGTGGAGGTAGACCTATACTAGATTACTGTTCGCAAATAGTTAAGGATGTGGGTTGTTCTGGCTTTAGGGAAATGCGAAAATTAGCGCAGGATTGGAAAGTGGTTGTGCATGTCCAATGACCTTATGATGGCTGATGATTAATTTGAAGTTACCTGTGGTAGCTACAGTTAATTTTGAAAAATTCATTTATTGAGATCCTCTACTGCTTTAATACATTCTAGAAGACGTTATAACTAGATGAAGTCCCTCTTTTATAGCAGTATTTACTTGTTGTTGCCACTCCGTCAAATTAATTCACTGATGCATTAGGTTTAACCCTATAAAAAATTCAAAGTGTTTTAATTCCAACACAGTCTTGCTAATATTGTATGCACTTCTTATTTTAAAAACGAATCGACGTTAGCATAAGGAGTAAGCCATTTAAATTGACATTTGCATAGACTGTGACAATAGCTAGACCATATAAATATTCCTCTAACGATTAGAAGGTGGCATAGGAGCATCACCCCCATTAAGTAACACAAACGTCTCCGAAAGCTTCCATTAATCAGTCTGAGACCCCATGAGTCTTAGCACTACGTATCGTACGTACCAATGCCACACTTCAAGTGAGCGCCTAATTGAATTTACAACGTTCGTACTTCAGAAAAGAAGAAAAGAAAAACTGGACGAAGCCCATCATTGACTCACATCGGATCATACGTCCACATATGTACGTATACATGCATCTTTCCGTTCGCGAGGTGGCGGGTGAAATGCAGGAGAACTCAACCGGTAATCCGTGTGCATATGTGCCTGCCTTTGTCGAAGAGAAGCAAGAGCAGCACGTGTCAAAACACGCATCGCGCCATGCACAGACGCCGCGCGGCGCGTTGTGTCCGTCGGGCAGCTGTTAAGGCAGAAGAAAAGACTTGAAAAGACACACGCAAACAAGATATTCAGTTCGAGTTATTAAGTGATTGTATCGTAACGCGCACATATTCATTACGGAACTTGACAATCTTTATGGCGATGTCGTTCCTTCTTGGTTTTAATGACGCTTACGTTTAATGTTGAGACCCCTAGAGAATGCAAATGTCGGCTGTGATTAACTTTGGAAAAAAGATTATGGTCGAGTTGGGAACGGATGGTACCGTTATAAATGTTTTTTAGAAAAGGCAGTTCAATACCGAAATTGTGCACTGACCAAGAAGCAAAAATCTCCATTGCAGAGTTCGCAACAGAAGAGTTATCGTCATGGATGTTGTTATGGTTTAATCAGAGGAATTATCCCACCCATAGGCTAATCTTTAAGAGGTGCCACAGTTCATGGTCATCATCATCATACGATTTCTACTCCAAAGTTTAATTAGACGCACACAATCGCTCTCCTATCCTGAACCACTCCCGGTATTCCCCAAAACCAAGAACATTTTACATGTATAATTATTTTCGAACAGTAATCCAAACTAGATCTTCCTCTGCCTTACATTATCCTTATCTGTCCGTCTAATATATCTAGTCGTTCGTATCTCACAATCTAGGTCTTCCTCTGTCTCTCTCTCTCTATTCCTGCCTGTCTTTCTAATATACCTAGTCCTTCGTATCTCACAAGATATCCTAACATCTTGTCTCTTTTTCGTAATATGTCGAATTCTTGAGACACACATGATTTATTGTCCTCCAAGATTCACGCTGTAACAACTCCAATCGCTAAATTCAAGCCCTCGAGCATCACTAGATTACTTCTAAAAGATCAGAAAGAGGGAAGGTTAAAGAAGCCCTGGTAGAGGATTTAGGGAAAAAGGCCTAAACGGAAGACATTTCGAGGGACTAATTTTTGTATTATCTGAGTCCTTAAAACCCACTATTCAAAGTCGAAACCAAAATCAGTAAACTTTTGATGTAAAATAACGTGATTTATTGAGGTCCATGGTTAAATCGGTGATTTGGTCAAGTCGAACTAACCATATTGGAAATAACTGGCGGAGTTTTAACCTGCCCCTTAACTTTTACTCTGTGATAGGTACCTAATAAATAATAATTTGAAACGTGGATAGAAGTTGGGAATAAATAGAGAAGAAAATGATGTTCTTTTAAAATATTTGGATTTACTACTATGATGTGTTCATTTTCCATTTGATTGCTCATAGTCCAGGATCCCTGGTACATTTTTGCACTTGATTACTATCAAGCACGCAATTTGTAGGACAATGTGACTATTAAATTATATCAATATTAACTAAGCAAAAAAAAAATCAGCTGGTTAGTAATCATTTATCATAACCTCGTTATCGGTAGATGTTGGAAAGAGGGGACTCTTGGATCAAACCATAGATCTTGTAGGACAAATATTTTTTCGAATAATTTAGATAATTATCTTGAGATTAAACAAAAAAAAAACCAATTAGTAATAAATTTTTGAGAATCATCAAACCGACATATTTAATCCTTGCTACCTCTGTTAGCTACCACAATCAAAGTTTCTTACAAAAAGTTGTTGGGCGTCTCATCAAAATGAAGCTACTCACGGAAAATTAGCTTGATAGTAATAAAGTGCAAAAATGTACCAGGGATACTGGACTATCATAGTTGAGTCCTTTTTCTACTATGGAAGGACTCAACTATGAAATGTTAAACGGAAAATTAACACAACATAATAAATCCAACTACCATTTCATTTCTCTCAGTGTACAGTATCTCCAAACCAGATTTCATAGTTCATGTAGAATTTGGTGAAATATTGTTTCATGGAAGAAACACATGGATCCATGTTCAATACCAATCACTTGATACCTATCCGAATGCCTATATAAAGTGCTAAGTATTAATATTTATCAATTCGTTTCACTCAAAATTCAGTTTCTTTTTAACGTCTGCTTTTGTTTTGAAATAATAGTTTCTTTAAGAATCAAAATCTTTTGTTTCGATTTCGAGAAGGGTTTCTTTTGTGCCTATGCGTAAAATAATGTTATGGATGGCACTGTTATAAATCATGATGTAAAAAGGGTACACAAATTGGTCAGGGTTGACAGCAAGAAGAGTTATGATATCTAAAATACTTTATAACAATTATAAGACGCAACGTCAGCATGCAACGCATGTAAGAATGGTAATCTCTTCAGGGAATTGCATTGTTCTGATATTAATTAGCTTACTAAGATATTGAATAAGAAATGTAATGTTAATAATTGTGATTAATTAAAATCAGTTGTTGTTCCACTGTTAACCTGTTAACATCTTGATTTAATTATAATTAACGCACATAGTGTATTATTGTTTTCTTTCAACGGGGCAGCAGCTCATGTTTTTCTTAGCCAGTCGAATTTCAATCTTAAAAATAAAAAGCGTTTTTAAAAAGTAAATTCGGCGGCAGAAAACATTAACTGAAGGCTGTCATAAATTCATGTCTTGTAATGTGCAGGTCCATCGAGGACTCAAAGCGATTCATTTTATTGCCCCATAAATGTAAACTTTCACTCGAATCTAGGTCAGATGGTGAAATCTGGGACTATTGTCTCTACCAGAACCACCCCAATGGTAATGACCAATGAAGCTTGTCATCTATAATATTTAGGAAGGGACTCCTACACTCCACCCCCTTTATTTGCATAAGTTAAGTTTATTTAAGTCTTAGTTTTAAGTTCCTAAGACAGACTCACGATAGAGAGACTCACGAAAGACAGACTAACAAGACACAGACTCACACAGATTGAGACACACAGACTCAAAGACAGACTCAACGAGACTCACGACATACAGACTCAAGAGATTCAGACTCACGAGATTCAAACTCAGATCATGTAAGCGAAAAGACACACAAGATTCAGATTAAGATAATGTAAAGCAAAGGGACTCACAAGACAAAGATTCAGATCATGTAAGCGAAGATGTATATAGTGTAATTAAAGGTGTACAGTAGATGTAAGTTCGATCAATATATAATTCCACAAATTAAACGTCTATGCGTTCTTATCTCAACTAAATGCACTGCTAATTAGTTTTGGTGATGCCGCTTTATTCTGCCCTACTGATAAGTATCAGCAGGATATTGCCGAAAACAAGCGCTTACAAGGCGACGAAACACTGGTCATTAGCGTTTTTTTCATAAACCACTTCATTTCAATTTTCGAAAAAAAAAAAAAACTATAGTTACTGTAATCTCTTCGATTGTATCGGCAACTTTTGCGCAGCAGCAAAAACGAAATAGGCAAATACCGTTGCATACGTTCATTCAACGAATCGTCCAGAGATTTGACACGGTTGCAGTATAACGTGCAGAAAATTACGTTTCGTAAAAAGGCTTTATTGTCTTCGCAACGCGATTATGTGACGCGTTAGATAAGTGGTGTCACAACCGCGATTAAAGAATGCATAAAGCGTCACTTAAAATAGACATGCATTTCTCCTGCGGACTGCAACGTCATATAACGTAATATAAATGATGGTTAAACGGGTGAAAGAACTCACCGTCCGTCGTCTCCTCCGGACTCGCAGCTGAAAAATAAAAGCTCATGATCAGTATTAC